ACAATTTAAAAAAAAAAAGTAAAACAAACAGAAAACTTTAAAATTGGTTAAAACTAATACGAACCCGAATATATTAATTTTATATACTTTACTAATATACTTATTAACATTTTAAACTTTTGTTATTTTTTAGGAACATCTAATAAAATAACTTTTTTTTATTTATACTAATGTTTAAAATTTTTATATTAAATATTGTATCCATTATTCCTGCGGACTTTTTTTGTCATAATGAACATACATATATTTTTTTTTAAATTTGTATTAATTTTTATTTTTTTATCCCAAACTTTTTTTTTCCTCAATGTGCAAACGAGGCTAATGCCAGGATTTGCGTGCCCATATGCGATGGCGATAGGCTGCAGCTGGACGCGGATTCCGCCGGGTGTAAATAGTATATGGTAGCATGCATTCTGATTTCTGGCCATTTACACTGAATTTTTGGCCGATGGCTTTGTTTGGTCCCCTCGTTTGGTTTAAGCGGGTTCGAATTGGTTTGGCCGCCACACTAAGCCAACTGATTTCTATGGTCCATGGTCGATGGTACGTGTGCACTATGTATGAATTTGGCTTGCAAGGAAACCAATTGGCAAATCAAAATATTGGCATTTGAATTAATGCAAAGCTTTCGACTCTGCTGGGGCTCCAAAGCATTAAATCAATGCCTAATTGATTGCTGATTGGGTTTGCCGTTTTTCACACTCGTACGAAAAATGTGAAATAAAAACGAGTGGCAGATAATCTTTGAAAATATTTGCTCTGCTTTTTTCACAGTTTCAAATAATAAATTAAATGTCTCTTGGATTGAAAACAATAAAATGCATATTATATATTGCTCAATGGCAGATCTTAACAGTGAAATGATAAAGCAAAATAGATTTATGTCAAGGAGAAACGGCACAAAGTGTTTCGATTCGAGTGAAAATCAAATAAATATAGTTTTACTCCCAGATAGGTCTATAAATCAATATATATTAGCCAACTAGCGAAGGATTTAAAGCAGGGTACTTGGCCTATAAACATTCCAAGACACTAACCAAGCCTGCGGTCACACGCCTAACTTGCATTAAGCACACGTCGATTCTTTTTTGTAACATGCAGTTTTGAGCTCTTCAGACTTAAAGCCAGAATTTTCTGTTCCTAAATTTCAGCTAAGCTGCTGACATAATGGCTGGCCCAAACTGGCCTTAACCCTTAACCTTTCTTACCTTTTTCGCTAAGCAGCCAGCACAAAATGCTCATAATTTGCTTGTTTCTTTGCACTCGAATTAGACGTGTGCATGTGAGTTTGCATTTTTTGAGCCATGTCCTTGCAGCTGCGACCCTTGAGAAGTCGTTTGCTTGGACTGGGCAAACAAAATGAGCGAGCAAATGCATTAATGGATGGATGGCGTAGCTACCCAAAAGGCCAGGACCTGAATCACCTGTGCTCCTTGGCTCCTCCGCTTTTCTCCTTATCTCCTCAGCACGTGTGAGTGGGCCAGGTGCTCTTGACATTGCCCCGAGTGAAAGGAGGCTTCAGTGTTTACGCTGCGACATGGCGAATGCTTCAGCCTGGAGAGTTTTCGCCGTCGTCTTTGATTGCGTGCTCGTCTCGCTGGGATGCCATTCCGTGTATATACCATATATATGCCATACTATAGACTCGTCTTGGGCTCGTTAAGTGTCGCCTCCTTATGGCATTTCATGCTATTTTAAATGCATTTGAATAAATAAACACTCGCACACACACGGGGGGTCGTAAAATGTTTATTACGTGGGCAAATGTTTGTGTCTGGCCTCATTAGGAATGGAAGCTTTGCACAATGCAACTACATTTCGCACTTAATGCATTTTTAATTTAAAGCCCGGACTCCATTGAGACCTTTAAAATTGCATCGAAATTGCTTTAATTGAGTGGATTTGCATGCGGGATTCAAGATGGTTTGCATCTTCAATTCAGTGGCCCTGAAGCGATAGCACTACTATTTTTTTTATCTCATGAGTGAGTGACTGTGTTTTAATTGATTGCCCATCAATTATGCACATTTCGCGGCGCACGTGTCGAATGCGTGATATTTCATTGGCTCCTTTGATTAACTCACTGGCTGCAAATATTTGGCCTGCAAAATCTGTTTAAATGTTCATCAGCCCCCTGAAACTATTATATTTCCATTTCAATCCCCCCACTTCGCCTGTCAAATGAGCTGAGCAAACAACTTGGCCAAGATTCATGTATCTCAACTTTAGCTTGACACTTTAAGTGGAAGTTATGCAAATAAATAAATGTAGATTGACTTGACATATATGTATTTGCCATCAGAGATAGAAAGACACTTGGAGTGAGGGCAAACATACAAAGCTAATTAAAGTATATGTGTGTGCAAAGTGAGTTATTGACAAACGCCTTGGAGATTCCCTTTATAAAGTCAGTGCAGCCAGTGCCAACTCAGTGGGCCGCATAATTATAATGAATCCCTTTTGTCAGCCAACTTAACCCTAATTTGTGCCGAGCAGCTCTCGCTTTATCCACTATTATCCCTGGGTGTAAACACATTGCGTTTGCCATTTATGCCATTGTATTCCGCATGCAGGTGCGAAAACGTTTTCAGACAAAAAGTCTACGTCTGCTAATTAAGCTCCAAAATGCTAAATGCAAAATGCAGAATGCCAAGGAGCCGAGGTGAAAAACTCAACTATTTCAGCATTGTTGGCTGCGACTTTTGTGCATGAAACCGAAGCAGATGCTGCCGCCTGAGCCTCAGATTCATCCTAATTTCGAGCCAACCATCCACCCATCCACCCCTTCCCATCACCATCCCCTTTTTTCTACCCAGCTGATGCGGGCAGCTCGCGAGTTGCAAAAGCTTCAGCCCTGACCACATTTTAATTGGGCTAAGCACACGCCATGTGTGCATGTGTGACGTGCTATTAGTGAAACTTTTAAATGAGTTAGTTAAGTAAAGCGGGTTACGTTATTATGAGTTTTTGGCTTGGACATTACAAAAGCTTGTCAGCTCTGCTGCCGAGCAGGGGCTTCCCTCCTGCACTCTTTCATTCTTCGTTTCTAACAATGTGTGTGGAGAAGGGTCCTTGCGAGGGGGAAAAAAGAAAATTTAGTAGGGTTGTGATGGGTTTTTACACACACACCTCAAAGTTTTATGGCTTCTACATAGCACAATCCAGGGATTTCGCTTTGCTATGCAAGTAAAACATCAAGTAGCATATGTAATTCTTGAAAATAATTTATTTAGCATATCCTTTTTAAAATTGAGCATTTTCAAAAATACTAAATATTTAAATTTAGTTAGGAAACAAAATTAAATCAACTATGTTACAGTTTCCACAATCTTATCTCTTATACTCTACAACTCGAAAAATGTATATTAGCATTTAGTATGTAAGTTTAAATTAAGGACAGCAACTTCGACTCAAAGCAAACTGATATTTTTATTTTCCTTACGTTAGGCGCCAAAAATCGTTTGCTAATATTGTTGAAATCAAATAATTTCTTAATGCATATTTTGCCTTGTAAATGGGGTTCCCTCCACAAAAAATCGAATGGCAGTCTGAAAATAATGCTATTCGATATTTTATTGGAGCAAATATTATTGTGGTAATTATTCGTGCAAAGTGGGCGCAATCAATTTTCAATTAGTCGCGTGCAATAATTTCGCGCACATTTCTTGAAAGGCAAAAACGGAGCGGATTGCCGTTGGTAATTATTGCAAATTATATGGCGCTGCGAGCATTTGTGTATAAATGCGAATGCGTATATATACGAGGATTGCAGTCATGCCAATCGAAAATACTTGAATACGGGCAAAGGAATGCGGCGAAAAGAGCGAATTGCGATGGAGGGCGAAAAAATATTATTCAATTACGCGTCATATCCAGGACAATGGTTACGACGGGCATAAAAGCCGCCTTCCCATAAATATACACAAAGTCCCCGCTTTCAGGCCGCCCATAAATTAAGGTAATAACATTCGAGCATACTCATAATAGTTTCGCCCCCTTATGCGAATGTTTCAACTTTGATTTTCGAAATTAAATCAGTGCATAAATGGCTGGCAATCGGATGGCATTCCGTTGCGGTACAGAAAGAAACAGAATTCCACGACATTTCCGAAAACTCTTTGATTTATTTCCGCCTTGCCACATTCCTGATTGACTAGAAAAATCAATAGAAACCATATGCCCCTCCTTCTTTCCCTGCACAATTAGCTGGCAGACCTTTCTTCCTTTTCCCCCCGAGACTTTCACCTGGGGTTGGACTGCATTGATAAAACAGCCGCCGCCCACTCGGGTCATCCCCTGAAGAAAATTTACATAAAATTCAAATAAAATAAAACGACAAACGTAATAATCATTAGTCGGCTCTCCTGGGTGCAGTGGACGTAGGAAGGTGGACACTGGACACAAGGTGCCTGCAACTGGGGAGTTTCAGAGGAGGCGGCTGACTTATTTATGGAGTTTCCATGTTAACGAGCCACTCGCAGTAAATTAATTTAGGCCCTGATAAATATTACCTATGGCCCCCATAAATTGGAGACTCTTTAAGATGCCTAAAGGTCATTTCCGCTTTTTTTAGGCATTGTCGCAAAAATATTTGCTAGTTTCAGTTTTATAAAAACCTGTACTTATTTTTTTGGAAATGTTAATACTTACTAAACTAAACTGTGAGCATATTTATATCATTATTATTTCAAGTAACTTAAAGTTTAAAAATGTATAAAATTATCTTCGAAACATGTAGAATTTTTGATTTCCGAAAGAATAGTTAAAATAATAAAAAAAACGAATTTTGAATTTATAATATTGTATTCAATATTTGATTTACTTAAATACAAAACATAATACATTTTAAACATTTTAATTAAGTTGAAAAATATTAAATACGAACTCATTTCTTAATTTTAGGAAATATAACTTTCCATATTTAAAATGAATAAAACACAAACTATATATATTAATTTATTATTATACTAAGTGTATCTTATTTAAGATCTATTTCCTTTTTAGTATCCAATCCACTCCTGGAGTGCAATCTTCTGCTGTTCGATTTGCTCGCCCATCTTCTGGGTCATGGCGAACTGGATGAGGATGAGCAGATAGTTGACCAGAATGGAGGTGAACTGATGGGAGAATGTTAAGTAATTAAATCGAAAGATTGAATATTCTTCACTTTTAACCCACCAGACCGATGACCTTGCGGTTAAGGACGACATCCAGGCCACTGGTGAACTGAATCTTGGCCTGCATTCGCCAGGACATCAGGGATTCTACCATTGGCCGCAGGGAGTTCTTTTCAGGAAACCAAATGTCCAGCTGCTCGACGAGACGAAGGCATCTTCTGGCCTCGCAAATGGTGCGATCGCAGTAGAAGGGGGCAATCAGGAGCTTGTAGAGCGGCGGCATCATGCAAAGGGCCACATAGCCGATCATTTGGTATCTACTGATCTGCTCGTCCTCATTATCCTCTTGCTGACCACTAATGCCAACAGATTGGCCAAACAGGATATACAGCTCACTGGTGCTCATGGCCAGATCGTGGGCCATGGCTGACCAAAGGCTGAAGGCGTAGACCTCGTTGATCTCCTGGACGAGGTAGTGCAGCTCTTGGACCATCGACACCACCTGGCGTATACGCAATTCCCGTATCTGCAACTGCGGGAAGCGCCACTTCAGAAATTCTGGATTGAGCATTTGCTGCAACAAACGGAATCGAATGCCCAGCATTTCGGCAAGGGTCATATGTACATATCCCGAGAAATGAGGTCCTCCGGTTACAATCGTATAGCACAAGGCGAAAAGCAGGAAGAGAGCTCGATGACCACTGGCCACTTGGAAGGCAGCACAATTGATGGCCACCAGATAAATTATAGTAACCAATCCCAATACGACTATATTCTTTCTCAGCATTTTCCTGTAATTCAGATTAGCTCCAAAGTCGCTGATAAGCCGATAATCTAAGGCAGCCAGTCTCACATAGATGCCCAAATGACGATCTGCGCATATTTGCAGCGATATCACAGTGGCCACAAAGACCAAGGTGGAGATGACCAGTTCCTGCACTGAAATACTCAGCACTAAACCATCGGCCTTCTTTAGCCTTTCCTTTACATCCTCGGCGGATAAAAGGAGGCTCAGGGAACCAAAAAGTCCAAATAACGCAAAAATGGCCACTGAAACTGAGTAAATCCTTCTCCAGCGACTGATCTTAAAGTGCGATCCTCGTATGCCGAATCCATTGCAGCCTAGTAAAAACTGCAGGCTGCAAATGAATCCGGCACAATCAAAAACCGTTTTGGGTTCGCGAAAGAAAAATAAAACGGCCATTGTAAACGATTTCTGGAAACCAACTAATGGCTTTTTCATTGGATACAACTCAGATATTAGCCTTTAGATTATTTACAAAAATCCAAGCAGTCATTAAAAAAGAAAGATACATCAGTGCACTTAAAATAAAATTTGTGAATTTAATGAAATAATTATAAAAAATGCTAAGGCATAAAAACTATTTTAAATCAGAAAAACAATAGTAAATTGAAATTATTTATTAAATTTATTAAGTTCCTTTTTTTATCGAACTGTCCAAAGTTTTTAATGTTTATTTTTTGTAAGCCTTACAAATGGCCAATGAACATTAAAGCCAATATAGTAATTAACTTGATTACTTTTGTGATACATTTTGACAAGAGCTTGGCCCAATTTATGAACAATTTCTTTTTCCAATTGCCTGCGGTATGCAATCTCGGTAAACGCGGTAAACACAATAAACATGTTTTGAGCATAAACAAGAAATAATGTTAAAATCAAATGTTACGACCACAATATTTCTCATTAACCTAATTGGTTTGTGCTAGGAAAAAAGCTCATGAACTTGGTTTGATTTATTTAGCTTGTATATCAATCAATATTATTTATTATTTTTACAAGTAAATTTATTAAATTTAAAGAAACACAAAAACAATACTCCCTATTACACAAAAATTTAAAGGTGAAAAACATTTTGTAGAATAAACTGAAAGTAGCATAAACTGTCTAACAATTTAATCGAAAAGTTGAATTTCAATTAAATTGGTTTTGTGGTCGGTCGGTGAATAGTTTTGTAAATTTGGAAAAATTACATAAACTAGTGAAAATACGAGTAATTTAATTTCTGCATCCTGGGCGAAGGCACTGTAAAAGCTGTCAGATTAAATACCATAATCCCCTGGATTATGGCCAAGCTGGGAAAAGTTGTTAATGCCCGGTGACAGAGCTCAACCCTTCGAATTTTCCCAGTTCAGTGATATATATATGGCATGATTTACAGCTTTCCAAGCAGAAGGTGAAACGAACAGGGGGGCATTTTGTTGCCTTTAATTAATAAAACTTGATTAACGGAAATTTTATGATTGTCCAAACGGTAGCAGGTGGCAATCAATCATCGCCTTCGCACGGCCACTCTCACTTCTGTTAATTATTTTGCATTAAATATTTATGAAATTCCCCAAAAGAAAGTCGCGTCGAGGGACAATTTCATTCGGCGAAGAAGAAGTGTAAAATTAATTAGGCTCTGTCCGGATGGGAAAAAAGCATCAAATGCGTTGCAAATGACAACCAAACGGAATGGAGCATGGAGTCACAGTCAGTTAATAAATTTTTTGCTGCACATTTGTGGTTCAGTGCACAAGGACATTGGACAGTGGACACACTGGGACATAAATAAATTCGAACACGGAATTATTTATGCGCAACTGTTGATTTTCTGGCTGATTAACCTCTGGGAGCTTAACTAGGAAATAAATGTTACAAATGAAATGCATATCAACCGAAGGGCCAAATGAATACTCTGCATGGACTGCCTTCGAAATCAGTTAATGGTTAGTTAAATCTTTTCCAGCTGTCGGAGAGTCATTTTATTTCATTCATTAAAGTTGGTAACGATTAATAGCACTGTCGATACTTTCGGTTGTTTCTAAAGGTAACATCGATGGTTTGGGCTTATCGTCTGTTAGGTATATTTCTAAGAAATCAATAGGTATTTAAATTGCGGTATATGATTAATTGGTTTATGATTCTTTGTTTTTGAAATTTGTCTTTTATAAATATAAATTTCGATAATATCGATATGTTGATATATTCGAAAAATTTGTTTCTAATTTTAGATAGATATTTAGATAGAAAGATCTTCTATTTATCAAATTTTCGATAGTATCGATAATATCGATTTACCTATTTTTCGCAGCCCTACCATGAATAGAGTATACTTTTGTAATTAGTTTTTTTTTTCGTTTGTAAATTTATTTATTATTTATCGCCTTTCGCCTCAGCGAACAGGCAGTAACATATGCATCCACATTTGCATTAACAATGTCAATTACCAAATCCAATCGGATCCCATTGAATTAAATTGACTTGGGCTAGTACTTTTTAGGGTTTTCCCCTTCCACTTTTCCGGCCATTTGTCCTTGTCACTCGACACCTCCTCATCATTCCCTTCCCACACACACATTGAAACACATTCTGACATCCTGGCTGACTGACTGATGGACCGCCTGATTGACTCACTGAAATGTCCGAAAGTAAAACAACACCGAGTCACAAAAAAGGAAATCAAATCTCCGCCCATATGGATTCAATTAACGCTAATTTAAAATGCCAACATATCGGAAAAGGCCTGCGGAAAATGGGAAAAATAGAAAATTTCCAGTCAGTTTTCCACATGACCCCCATCAAAATTTCGTTGTCAGCGGTTCGGCTTTGACACTCCAAAGGGCAAAATCGGCAACAACAGAAGGGACAACCTTTCCCTGTCAGCCGAACACGCTTTGATTGAGGGCTTTAAGTGAGCCAAATCAAATTTAGAACTTCGAATGTGTTAGAAATGTATTCTTGGAAATTATCATGCTCTTAATGTTTTTCGATCTATAAAAAAAAATCTTAAAATTACATTTCTTACTCAAGTTTCATTAAATATCACTTATTTGTTATATATTATAAACTGTTTACATATATATAAAATAAATTTAAATTTAATTTTTTTAATTTCATTATCATTTAAAATTAATATAGAATTTCATAGACTTTTTTCTCAAACTGAATTCGTTTCTGCCAACAGTTTAAAAGATGGCGGCTAAGTGGGCTTGGGGCGAGGAACCCATTTGTAGGCACTTGCTCGACTGAGTGCGTCCTAATGCCGCTCACAATTAAATTAAATAACACCATAATTAATTACTGGCCACGCACACACACTCACGCAGGTTCGCAGGACTTGATTTGCTGGCCAAGAAGGTGCTAATGTCCTGGCCCATTCATTCTAGATGCGGTGTGCGTGAGTGAAATAAAGAATGATTTATGGCGGTAAGCTAACTAACGTTCTGTTCGAGCTTCGAGCGGACCACGCATGTTTCTGTTCTCACAATTAGACGGTGACCCCCAGTGGAGGCTTCCCCCTTTTCCGGAGCAGCCATAAATCGCATCGTAAATAAAGGAGCAACAGCGGCAGCACAATGGAGCCATCAACTTTTGATGCAACTTATAACCGTATTTGGCCATAACGGCGCCAATGGGCCTGCATTGATTGGATATATCGACGAAGCATCCTTAAGCGGCGGCCCATCAACAGCCAGAATGATGTCCGCCCATCAAGGAGCACCGAGCAGTGATAACGGGAGAGTCCTTAGTCCTTACACTGGGAAAACTACAAATTTGGCAAAAATTAAGAGCAAATCTTCTTGATTTTGAAATTTTTTCTTCTCCCCTTTTTAAGAACAATTGATCTTAAAATTCTCAAGAATGCCTCTTGAAAACGAGAATAGTTTCGTTTTAAAGTCGGGAATGATTTCTCTTGAAAACGAGAACGCTTATGCATGAATCTGAGAATTATTCTTCTTGAAATCGAGAACAATTTTGTTGAAATTTAATATTTTATTCCTGATTTAATTAAAACTGAAATTGAGACTGCAGAGAACTTTTTTATTTCAGTGTAGTCCTTAGTCTCCCACTGCACAAAGGCGTTTAATGTTAACGAGCAAATGGCCCTGGAATAAGTGCACTCCTTTCCTGACGCTTTTATAAATTGTGTTATGCATAAAGTTTATGCGAACATAATACGTATGGAGATATACAAAGAAATATATGTATTTATAGTCAAGGGTTATCATCGCGGCTGCTTTATCTCCGTGGCAGCGTGGCTGCTGAAATATGCGCCTCTTCCCTTGGAAGATATTCCGCTATCTCTGGCCCATCTTTTTCGCGCTGCATGTTCATTTGACGCGGTCCTCCTTCTCCTCTGCACAGCATTAAATCCACTCAGCCATGCCACATAAAACCAGCTGAAAAAAAGAAGCGATGAAATTATGGTGCCTGCTCATTGTGTTGCAACTTCTCACCTCTTGCAGTGAATCCGCAGCGCCTCGAAGTTGCACAGATGCCCTGCATTCCATTCCATTCCAGAGGGGCTGCCCTCAGTTGGGTGTATTAGTTTGCATTACCAGGAATTTTCCCACCAGGCCTTCGACTTGGCCTGTAAAATTTAATAATGGTGGTGCATAAGCACACGGAAAAAAAACAGTAATATGTCCATCAATCTCTTAAAGAAACTAGTTACTTTTCGCATTGATCATCTTTAAATTTTTAGCGTTCATTATACATATATTGAATATTTTGTAAAACAACTGATTTACTAAGGAAAGGATTATAACCTTCCTTGTTAAATTGTAAAAATAACTAAAAAAAAATCATTAATATTAATACTAATACTAAACATGTGTAATTTAATTAACTAATTTAAAATATTAATATTATTTGAACTATATCTACTTTGGTTATCTTTCTCTGGAAATATATAAAGCTAAGTAATTTCTCTGTTGAGCTACGTACGTAATTATCTAAATAAAAGGGATGAAAGAAATATTATAATAAATAATAACAAAAGAGAAAAAGTATTCAAATCATTTCTAATGGTTGCAGAATCGTAAACTAATCCCCATGAATAAAATTAAACTTAACCGAGTAAAAAGAGATTTTAATTAAATGAAACAAAATACTCGGCACATGCAGTGGCAGTATCAAAAGATCGTAATATTACTTACCGATGGCGCTCTGTTCTCCGTTCTCGAAGAGTTGCCTTCGGGGGCCGACAATCCGATTATGTTGCACGTTCCCAGGGCAACTTTCCTTGCCACATGACGACTTGTCGGTTGGGCTGCTGGTTTTTCGCAGCCGGATCCCAAGCCCGACGTGCGTCAGAACTGATTAATGAGCTGCAAATGATGTTATGCGCAACGCCCGCTGCCAGTGCGTAAATCTGAAATAATCGGGCGTGCCCAAAAGGAGTGGAGAGCTACTGCAGCACTACTCTATATATATAGAAGACCTTCTTGCAGGCCCTCTGATAATAATGATGCTAATGATGGCGTTGATATGGCATTGTGTGGCATTGTTCGCGTGCGCAGACAGCTTGGCATTCATTCTGGGGTTGCATTTCACTTGTTGCCCAGCAGCTGTTTTGTAACGACACATTTAGAGTCTGCCTAAAATAAAGAGAAGCGGGTGGAAAGAGTAGGGCACTTCCATTATATCTTCGGCAGCTAAACGCCCCCCGAGGTCCAGAAAGCCAGAAACTTCCCCGACAATTGGCAGATGTCAGCTTTAAGCCATTTTAAAAAGCAAATGTCTGACAAAGCTGCAACTAAAACTTTTTATGCCCCACTTTGCCCGGCCATTCACAACTTGTACGTGGCAAATAAAAGTGCACCCGGGGACCAGCGGCTGCGTATCGCTTGCCAAATGGGATAGACAACACTGAAACCCGGATGAATCTGAATCTGTATCTGGTTTTGGCCCAGGCAGCAGGAGCAGATTTAAGTATGCAGTTGTAAGCCATAAAATCAGCTTAATACTTCCGTCGAGCCACGAAATCTGAATTTATAGTCCACGCAAGGAGAGCACACAAAAAAGGGGAAGTTCTGTGAAAGAAGTCGATTTATGGCATATTTTCTTAGTTAACCTAAGGGGATTATTTAAAGATCATTTCAGTTACAAAATAAATGTAATAATAAAGTAAAAAGTAAATAAAGACAATAAATAAAATACCAGATAAATTGAAATAAATTATCAGAACCTTTATGATGTCTTGAGTTAGAATATGTGGTCAAAACTCTAAACTTTTGAGTTTACTAATAAATATTTTATATTTATTTTATAAAATGTAAAGGTATTTTCCACTCTCCATTTTTTACTTAGCTTTACGATTTTTAAAACGATACATTTACTTACATTTCTTTTTGGGAAATATTCCTTAAAATACAAAAACCCCCCGTAAGCGTATTAAGAGGAAAAGATACAAGTCAGATTCTAACGAGGAAGAATGTCGTTGGCTGGGTTACATAAGAGCTCTTTCGTGGGTTTTCATCTGGTAGAGAGGGAGAGCATCTTGTGACATGGTTCGATTAGCAGGTCAGCTGGTCACAAGAATCTCGGTTGTTGTTTTATTTAATACCTCTTATTAATGCAAAGCCCGGCGACCTCACATCAAGTTTGCTTTCGCCTTCTTTGCTGCTGCTCATTTGCCAAGTTTCCATATTCATATCAAAACCAAAGTGAAAGTGCTTGATTAGCCAAATAGGAAAAATAAAGAAATCTGCCTGCTTACGGGAGTATCGAGGCATAAACATGAATGACTGATTGCCTGTCTTGTCGGTGATTAGTGATTAGTGTTCATGCAAATGAGTTCTAAAGACTTGGCCCCGGCACAAATATAAATCAATGGCTGAGGTCGGGCCAAGTCAAGTTCCCTGGAGCAAGATGATGAGCAGCAGCCACAAGTGGACGAGGTTGCTCTTGATAGGCCTGATTGTTCTTTCGAATTACTCGTATAGTAAAAGTCCCTTGGGTAGATATGATGATCTGTGCAAAAGGAAGCCCATCAACTAATGAATTTTCTCTCTTTTTATTTAGCGAGGCATCTGAGATTGCGACCCCTGAGACCCGCAGAGATTCGGGAACTAGAGAACTCTCTACCCAAAGGTCGATCAGTATCCAGTGGTCTTGCTGCCGTCACTGGTTTCGCTCTGGGTTTGGGAAAAGCCCTCACTGGGGTCTTCATCTACGACGTCATTACTGCCAATATAACCGAAGATGCCATAGATAATAATGTTTCAGCAAACAACGGTTCGGTCAGGGAGGTTTGCTTCAATACTGGCACTTCTAATTCAGATATAACTTGCCTGGTTTACTATACTAATAATTAAAAATCTTAAAAACACATTTTTTATTTATCATTAAAAATTAAAAAATATTTTTAAACATATATTTTGTGTGCGCAAAAAGTAGTCAAATAGTTTGTTTTCCAAACAAATTAAATCACTATGCTTCCAGATTGGCAGCTATATTTAAATGAAGTAGACACGGGTTGTATTACAAATTATTCTTATAAATGTATCTACTAAAACCAGTTTTGGGGTCGCAGATCGTTCAGGGGTCAAAATGTTTTTTTTCAGCGGAATTTGATTATTTGCATATGCAAAACTGGGAACTTTCTTTGGCCTCTCGTCACAGATAAAAGTGAAGCAGAACCCGTCGGCTGTTTCAGTTAAGTTTCTACGCGATTACGCGAAAGATCGTCGAGAAGATGAAGTCGTTCGGGAATCTGACCTTTGGTCTGCTCATCATCCTCATCGCGGGAATCAGCGCCGGTGCAGAAGGTGAGTTGTGAAAGTGAATCTGCTAAGAAAAATGGATACAATACCAAAAGTAAATTTTTCATATCAAATAAATTGTGCAGTAATTAAATTAAAAAATCTCAATTTAATTTTAAAAATATTATTATATATTATTGGAGCTATTAACTTATTTTTCGTAATAAATCTTCAGCTCGTCGCCTGGTACTTCGTCCGCTGACGGGAAGGGAACTGCGCAGGGCTCTGAGGGAATCCGGAATTGGTGACGATTCTGCAGCTGGAAAATCGGTTGCCTCGGCCTTGCACGGACTGACTGGATTCGCTCTGGGCATCACGAAGGGAATTGGTGGCTCCATTCTGTTCGACGTGGTCACCTCAAATGCGACCATCGATTATATCACCAGTCTGCTGAACTCCACCGCCACCTCGACGACCAGCAATGGAACCGCCCAGGAGATCTGCTTCAACAGTCGCAGTGTCGACGGAGAGATCATCAACGGCAGGAGCAATCGCTATGATGACCTGGATGATGGGGCAGAACCAAGCGGAGAGTGGAGGCAGACTTCCACTGGAGGCACTAGCACTGGCACTGGCACTGGCACTGTCACTGGAACCACCCCTACTGTTTCTAGTCCTACTACTTCCACTTCCAACAGCAATGGAGTCACCTGCATTGTCCTGAGTTCAAAGGGTCGTCGGAGGCGTCAGTTGCAAATTCAAGCAGGAACCCTAAGATCTTTAGCCTTAAATCAACGTACACCCCATCGCCAGACATTAAAGAAATACCGCAGGCGTAGGTTTTAAAGAGAACCCTTTGCCTCTACTTTAAGTTAACTTATTTATTGATTTCGATTAGTTTATTAAATTTTAATTGTTCCGCATTTCGTGTATTTTGGCTGGGCTGGCTTTATTAATGGTCGGATGACTGGGCGAAAATCTTGGATTGACACATTTTATGATTTGCTGACATGCACTCTGGGTTTCGCCCAAAAACATTTTACAGGGAAAGTGGACTCACCAGCGAGAAACAGACATTCATGTGTGACACACACGCCGGCACTGAGAGAAAACGGGCCTCATAAAGTTATTTATAGACTTTGAGAAAAAATGATTATTACAAAATTATTCCTATTAAAAGTAAACTGCATCTCAAAAGTATTCGAGAAATGTTATATTTAAATTTACTAGCGTATATGTCACAAATGAAATTATACCTGTATTCTTTTTATTTCGGCATTCATTTTTCGATCCTTCCAAAGGCAGCTATAGTCGTCCAATTTTAGTCCAATTTATTTCAAAATCCTGATATCTTATAAGAAAGTTATAATCAGAGTAGGAACAAATAAGATCAAAAGTAACGAAGCTATAATTTTTTTCCTATAAACTTCTTATTGTATATTAATATATTTTGTTGTAGAGATACACTTTTTCCAGTTGCCTTGCAATTAATATTTTTTTTACATTTTCCCCAAGTGTACCCATTTGCAGCGTCACGCATATCGCGGTGGGTGAATGGTTATTAATACAAACAGAAAGGCACGCAGCCTGCCACTCGCACTTCCCACTTCCAATCAGAATCCCAGCCCCTTGTCCTTTCACCCCTTCACCCTCTTCACTCCACCTCACTTCACTTCGCCTTCGGTCCTTATGTAAACATTGAAATGTCATTGCCGTCGAGGCCAGCGGCCCGGCCACATAAATCCTCCTTGGCCACAATTTATTAACTTTAACACTAGCCAATGTCAACGGCATCCCCTCTCTCAGCATTTTCCTCGGCTTCGGTTATTGATTTGGATGCGAAATTTATGTGGTCAAAGGACCTCAACCCTGGACTCTGTGTCCAGCGAACTATTAACTTTGAATCTCCTTTCACGTGAGACCAAATTGCAGTGTTTATGTTATTGTCTGATCCCTGAATCGGGACTCGTGTCTGTCACTGCCTAAGCAGGAATTGCATTAGGGAACATTTATTATTTATGTTAATGCCTGGAAAGTTCTGTCTCGGTCGTGAAAAGTGTTCGGTGATTAAAGTGCGGCAAATAGGCGACGACGCAAACTATTCCTTGAAGAAAATCAAACTCTAATTACCATATCTCCGCCTCTTCAAACGGCCATTGAGAAAAGCTCTGGGGTGTACATATTGTGCAGACAGTCGAACGTCTTTAAGGAAAACTGAAGTGTTACAAGGAAACTCTTTTAAAACTGTCAAAAACCTTAAACAATTTTTTTTAAAAATTAATCTACATTTTACTAATATTAATAAAATATTTATAATTGTTTGGCCTTTGAGAAAGCTCTACGAAATATCTTAAAATTTATACAATTTCTTTTCATATTCTTCATAAAGTGTGGGTTTATACAGTTTTTCCTAATTTTCACTGTAAGTTATATTGCGTGTAAAAACGTAGGTGTATTATTTACTCTCCCTCTACTTTTTTCTTCTGAAAACTCGGCTTAAAGGACCACTACTGTGTGTTTGTATATTCATGAGCGAATCAGCAGCAAAACTACAATTATTGTGCACTTTAGGAGCGCAGAGAAAGCCGGCTTAATGACCGGGGCCTTGACCCCAGAAGGGCAGTTGTTTGCCCCTCTGCAAGCCTTCGGCACGAATTGCGTACTAAATGCGCTAAATTACTAACTAAATGCCGCAAGTGCCGCCCCTGGGCATGGCTAGAATTTCACAAATGAACGCCTTTTCCAGGGGGGCGGGGGGCAGGGGATGGAAAATTGCCAGAGGGGTGTGTTTTCCTTTTGGTAATAGCCGAAGCCAAAGCCAAAGCCGAAAAACTGAAGTCAAAGCGAAAGCGAAAGCCAAAAACTGCCGACAGTCGATGACATTTGAGCGATAAGAGAAACTGTTGTGTGGCTTACTTGGGGGGAGCTACCCCAGTGATTTTCTATATGCCTTGAAAGGAGAGGGGGAGGGTGAGGGGGGTCAGAGGTCGAGGTTGTTGTTGCTGTTGGCATTAAGTATGCAGGCGTGTGAATTGTGAAGGAGGCAAATACAAATAGTAAATGCTCGCCGTCTTTTGCAGGCATTTTTACAGTTGCTTTTTACAGCATTGAAAATTGTTTTAAATGTTAATGTTGATGCTGTTGGGCTGATAATAAAATTGGGAGGGTCGGGAAAGTCGGAAAAGTGTGTGGTAGCGGCGTGGCAAAGTCAACAAATAATTGAGATGTTTTGCAAACGGTGGGGTGACATACGCCGCCCTCAATTTTCACCCATTTGCCACCCACTTTACCACCCACTTTTTTTTGTCTGCTCCCCGGTGGTTGAGAGTCAGCTGCAAAGAGTGCGAGTCGCGCACTTGTGTTAAATTATGCGGGTTTGATTTTTATTGCACTGCCGCTCATTTCTTTTTTCCCTTTTTCCGTTTGTTTTCCCTGCTTTGGTTTCCTTTGTTTTATAGGTTTTCCCTGAAGAGTGGGTGGGGGAGTGGGAATCCCCATACCCCAAAAATCAAAATCATCTCGAAAGTATAAACAAGTTGGAGGACCGAGGTGGAGTGATGGGGACGCGTGTGTGTGCGGCTGTAATTTGGTCATGCCTCGTTGCCCCAACGAGCTGTTGCTTGGCATTTCAATTAATGGCACTTGCCACCCTCGTTGTGTCTACCATTCCACCCCATCCCATCCCTTTCCACTCCCGCCCTCCAAGGGGTCATCTCTTCCGCCGCTGCACTCCTAATGAAGCCATCCCAGCTCCAGTTTCAGCTGAGATTCAACCACAGCCCGACCAAAAAGAAGGTCTTGCCAGGTCTTTTGGTTCGTTGTCAACAGGAGTCGACAAATATATCACTACACTAAAATAAAAATCGTTTTCCACAAATAAGATATTTTAATGTTATGTTTTTCACTCAATTGTAAATTAATAAAGATTTTTAAAAAATAAATGGCATATGATAATCTTGTATGATGATGAAAATGTTATTGTTGAACTTAGAGAGTTTTAAAGATTAAAGAGAAATATATTTAAAAATATTTTAGAGACATATATATTTTTTTAATCTGATAGATTTATTTTTTAAATTATCAACACTCACAGTTTTCATTAAATCTTAAGCTTTTCCAAATGTTTACGTAGACACAGACCATTTTATAATTTACCGACATTATTTCAAGTAATTTGATTTACAAATGTGAAAATAATCAATTAAATGTTTTTGTTCATTTTTTTTTAAGGTGTATTTATTTTTTTTCTTAATCATAAACTTATTTTTATCTTAAATGAAAAACTTTATTACAATCTTCAATATTTTAGTATTTGAGCAGTTCTTACACCGATTAAAACTAGATTTTTTTCCAGTGCACGATTGCAACTCCGCGGTGACACGTGACCACAGGGACATTTGTTGAGCCTGAATATGCCGCATCGCACGTCTTAATAGATTTTTGATTTGTTTGCTCACCCTCGAACTCAACCCCCCAGGCAACCTCCCCCTTTTCCGTACCCATACCCGTATCCATATCCTCATCCAAAACCAAATCCAATTGTGAGCCGCGCGTGCGTCTCTGATTGGAATAATGATTTCGCCAACGAGGCCAGAACATAAACCGGGCCAGATTTTTCGAATTTTTTGGGGAGTAACTTGTTTTTGTCTATATAGAAAATCAATACGCGGCATTTTCCCATTGTTTAAGCAGCCGGGTAATTCAATAAAGAAATCACGCTAAAAACGGTAGGAACTAGGTGAAATTGAACGCTCAAGGCCCCGAAAAGGAAGATTAAAAGCGAGACCTGAAAGTTTGTCTGTTCTTTATTTCGGGCGATGAAAATGTTACAAAGGAATGGGATGGTATTGGGTATTGGGCAACATTTTACAAATTGTTTCAATTAAAAAGTTTACTGATTTTGCTTTTTCGCCTTTTACTTTATCTATAATCGGCTTGCGATTGACACGTGCCCCCAAAACCTCCAACTCCCCAACCCCCCCACCCTAGCCCCCAAGATCTATCGGCTATCGAATGGAAGTAATCGCTTTCGGGGGCGCTAATTGCGGAGACCTTGGTTTCTGTTTATAAGTCCGAAAGTTGATTGCATAATACTTTGGGCAGTGGGCCAGTCGTAAGCTGGGAAAGCCAAAAGCTGGGGCCAATTAATTAAATATAATCAGCTGGAAAAAAGTTCCGGCCAATCTGCAAAAATATATTTCACAGTCGCTAATTAATTTAATTGATTTAAACGCTTCGGCCGACCAATCGCTTGGTGGCTGGGGGTCAGTTTGTAATTATCGAGTGCATTTGATCTGTTTGTTTGTTCAAAATTAAATTGACTTGTAATTAAAAGTTTCGCAATTGATTGAAATTCTCGTGTGTGCTTTTCCTTTGTCTACGTGGGTGGGGGTGTGAAAGTTGAAACCCAACACAAAAAAAGAATTCGCCAAATGGAAGTGGCAGAAAAAAAGCGGCTAATTACGAGCATTAATTAAAAATGAATTTTTTGTTTGGTCAATTGAACTGCAGGCAACTTAGGACTGAAACAATTTCTACTCTTGAGGGACATTTTCTCTTTAGTTTAGGTTCGTATAAGAGAGGCAAAAGTCTTATACGCCGTCTTAACTGACCTACGCCAGGATATTTTCGCTTGCTTTTACTCATTCTAAGATGGTTGAGGATTCTCTAAAGAAATATTGAAACAAAACATAAATTTAAAACCAATTTTTATAGATTTTTTTGTTTTTAATCTAAAAAAAATTGTAAATAAACTTCTGGAAAAAGAAACAAAGATTACAAAGGTATCCAAACCAACTTCATTTTTAAAAGTATTCTAAAATATAAACATATTTTATATTAATTTAAGAAATCTTTCAACATTGTGGAACACATTGTGTTTATTTATTTTTACCATTTGACACGTTATTTTTTATTTTTCAAAATATTTGAATAAACGGCAAAGACTAAAGTAAACCCACTCACAGGAATAAACACAAATCGTATAAATTTTAGCCTAAGCGAGAATGTGTAAAATAAATCTATCACCAAATTCAAAAAGTAATATAATATCTGGGTGGGTAATTCAAACACAAAGTTTATATAAAAATTCACTTGATATAAGTGGCACAGCACATGTGGAAATTAGCCAGCGAAAATAAAGAATTATTTACAAATATTTCAATGCAGATGCAATATCGAGTGAATGCACTTGCCATAAACAAACAAAGAGTCTTAATAGCTCCACTCCAAAGTTGCTTGGCAATTTCGTGCTCCAATAACCCGGCTGAAGAGAAAGGCCCTTGGATGTGCGAGCTCTCTGTTCTGTTCTCTTAGCCCTAAAAAGCCGAACCGTGACGAATACGACGAAGTCAGCCCGAAAGCGAGGCATTTCACGACCTCCGATTGCCCGTCCATCCAGTTCCATCCTGCGACTCGAAAGCGAAGCACGCGTTTCTTGATTTATGTGCGCGAGTTCCCACTTCACAGTTCCCAGATATTTTTGTGAGCCTCCTCCGCAGAGAAAAACCGAAAACCGGGCCTAATGAGTCCACCGCAGGCCTGCGTGTTAATGGCGAATTAATGACGGGCGATTAAAATGCAATAGCCACATGCATAGGCGCCGTAATGAGCTGAACCCACTAACCAACCGACGACTCAGTACAGTGGAGCAGTGCCATAAATTAGAGTGTGCCCTGTGTGCAGTAAGTGTTGCCTACTTAGCGGCTTTTGGGCTTACGATCTGTGTGAAGTAACCTTTTTTGCCCACGACGCCCACCAAAAAAAAAGGAAGCAATGGTTGTTGTGTAAAACAGATTAAAAAGAAGGGAAACTCTCAGTGAAAACGAACGAAAACACTTTCATTGCTCCCCAGGCAAAGCTTAACTTGGCCGAGAGTTGTTGTGCCCGGCTCTAATTTGACGGAATCGTTAGTTGACCAAGTGAAGTCCATCCCCCGGAATCCCGGAATCCGCAATCCGGGGATCGCGTGCCGACTACAAGCGTAATAACAATAAACTTGCGGATAACAACCACAGATACAGATACAAAGCAGCAGCAAAAGCAAAATGTCCCTGCCATCCAGAGCCAATTTCGGATTACTCAACTGGCTCATCGGCTGGCTTCTGCTGCTGTCGATGGTCCTGCTCAGAGGTGAGTTTCCCTTCGTCGCGTCGGGCTTTTTAATTAAATAATCCAATTTATTTTCATTTAATTTCTAATTAAATTTAAATTGTTTGTCTGGGGACCTTCTAATTGCCCCCGCATCCCAACTGTAAACCCCCCTTCAAAGGCTTTCCTTTGTCGCCTAGAATTTCCCTTCTAATTTCCGGAAAACAAGAGGGTTGGGTGAGCTGAATGCGAATTGAAATTCTTTAATTTTTGTGCCAAGAATTTTAATTCCGCTACAGAGTCGAGTCGGAAAAGTTTCCCCTTTTGTCTCTCTGTTTGCTTTGCCTTGGCGCAAGTCAAAAGGTGAAAGCATTTAATGTCCATCTGTGTGTGACCCCCGAAATGTGTAGAACCCGCAAACGTTCTAGCAAAATGAAAGCGTATACAGACGAAGAAAAACGAATTGCTCTTAGTTTATTTTTAAGTTTGCTTTGGAATTTACTTATTTAAATTTGAATTTTTGTTTATGCTTGCATACGATTTGCTATTCTAAAATGCATTTGCTGGCATAGGGGGAAACAAAGCCATGCAAATATGTGATTATTTTATATGTTATACTAAAACTGAATTAATTACAAATGAAAAAAATTTTAAAAATATAATAAGTTTGCGGTGATGGGTAAAAATTTAAACTAGAATTTTATAGAAATAGTACTCATATTAATTACCTGTTCTTATTTTTATACATTTTTTATCAATAGTATCAAAATTTGAAGTGTTTTATTTAATTCGAGATTATGCATGACTACGGTTTTAGAATTTCAACACAACTAGGGCTTCCTATGATTTGCAAATTTTGTTTCTTCATTAGCAGTTCGAATGTTAGGAATATTAAATTCAGAATTAATTATTTAACTAAGTAAAATCCTAAAGTAAACAAAAAGAACAAACCATGAACTTAAGATCACTAAAATGTGATTTAAAATTTTACAGAGCCATGAAAATACAATCCTAAAAATGCCTTTTTCAATAAAACACTTTAAAGATCCAAGAGTTCTTCAATCGAGAGTTATTAACTTAAATACAGATATGACCATATTTTCCGTGCAGTCATGACCCAGTCCGCTGGTCAGGATCCTAGTCCTAGTTTCGCAGCCATCAAGGTTGGACCAGAGACCATTTGAAGGGCCGGAGGATGAATGGCGAACCGCAGAGTGCGGCTGCCACATGCAACGTGTGAGTTAGCGAGCGTGTGTGTTTGGTGTGGGCTGGGCAAACAGTTTTATATAATAGTTTGCAACACTGGGGCACAAGTCTCACTTTCAATGCATCAAATGAGAGGAGCACGCACATGGCAGATAGAATTGTGGGAAAATAAAAAGTAAAAAGTAAATGTAGAAAAATAACAAATACTAACGAGCGGCAGACACTTGGAAAATGCTGTTGAAGCTTGGTCAGGGCCAAAACGCTGCTGGCTGCAGTTGCTGTTGCAGTTGTTGCTGCAGTTGTTGCTGCTGTTGATGTTGCTGCTACAACTGCTGTGTTGCATGTGGCATGTTGCCGTTGACACACGAAACTATTGCCTGTGGGCTTGGGTTTTCGGTTTTCAGTTTCTGGTTTTAGCCGTCTAGCGTTCAGCTTTTCATTTTCTACTCTCCGCTTTCACTTCGCCGTTTGTCATCTTTGTAAAACAGTAAATTGCATTTTTATACAATTTTCCATCATTTGCCCTGGCAGTTGTTCGTCTGGGCTTTGTAATTTTCAAATGAAATACTTTCCGAATGCAATTCACTTTTGCGCAAATTGTTTCCTTCGCCTCGCTTTCCTTTGACTTTGCCTTCGCCAGCGCCTCCTTCTGCCCTTTTTGGCATCTGTCTGGCCATTTCATTTGGCTAAAAGCTACTTGAAGTTGGTTAAGCACAGACAAACAGAAATTACTCATCTTGGCAATTGCAAAACCTGCGAAAAGGCATAGCAATCATGGCAAATTCCTATCGAATTACTGGGCAAAGGATATGCCCAAGGATTTCGTTTGGTCTTTTGTTCTAGCTGAATTATTATAATAATTGAAATTGTAATGTGTTTAAAACTTTGAGAATTGCAAAGTTCGTTATATGGATAAAATTTATGTTAGCCAAGATAATATAATAATGAAAAAATCGTAGAAATGTCAGTATCCCATTTAATGAAATCCCATAATGAGTGTCTAAAAGTATGCAGGGAATAAAATATAGTCGTCTTCCTAAATGAATTCGACGCTCTTTTGAGTTTAAAATATATTGTTGCATACTTTTAGACACCTTTTTTTAAGTGATTTCAAAAAACCAGCTATTTTTAATTCTAGTGAAACAGTCTTTGTAATTTATGGAATATATTAAAATGATAGAAGCTCTGTTAGGATTTTTCAACGATTTTATCATTGACAATTAGGCTTTAGACACTGTTTTTTAATACAAAAAATGTAATTTACATATTCCTAGATTGTTGTTATAAAAAATATGCCAATTGAAATTTTTTGTTGCATTTTTTCGGTACCCAGATGGGTTTTTCGAGTCTTTTTCTCAAATTAATTGACAGCGAAAAACTCGATAAATGCATGCGCATATTTCCATAATGAATTCATAAAACTTTCGATCGTGTCCTTTCGCGGTCTCGTGTTATTTGGTTTGCTGGTTTATTAATAAATAAATTCTGCCCTTGTGGTTTGGCCGTTTTTGTGTGTTTGTCCTGTGTGCGTGTCACGCTGTATGCTGAAAATTGCAGTTATTTGCACAGCTGTTTGCCATTTAAGGCAAACAAACGGTTTTGCCCTTTTTGACCACGGATTTTCCCCCACCCACTATTAAGTATTTTTGTAAATATTTCTCGTGTCGCTAAAAAGGAAAAATGAATGATTAAATGAACAAAAAACGATAATAGCCGACGTGATTTTCCGTTGAGTCCAGTTAATGCAGAAGTTATGCGGATTGCGGGCAGGCAACAGAAAATAAAAGTAATTGATTGGGGAAGCACATCCTTCAGCGGTGTCAGACTGATGAATGAACCCACGCATTGGCCCAGACAAATGCCTAGCAGCACGCAATGGCGAATGCCCAAATCCAACCATAACCATTCATTTTCATCCGATGAGTTTTTTCGCCAAGGCGCCTCAAAGTATGCAAAGCACATACTCAAGGGTTCGCAGGATCTATTTGCCGGCGGGTTCAGGTTATTCACACAGGCTTTTTGGGGTAGCAAAACCCTGCGGCGGCTTCTTCAAGGCCAACACCCGTTATCAATGGGGCTGTTCATATTTTTTTTACATATTCCTGTATGCGTACGAAAATACACATTTATTTTTTTGATCCGCAAAAGCTGCTTGAAGAAACAAACTTTGTCTGTTGTTGATTTTAATGGCAGATGGCTTCACAGGAATTTGTGATGAATGTGTGGTTAAAAGTTCAACCGGAAGGGCTCCAGACTATGTTTTGCATAAGGAGTTTTGCGGCGGAGCTCAAAGGGTGTCATTAATCATTTAATTGACAATGGGTATTATTTTAGGATGGTCAAGAAGTCTTACAAGAGGATTTAAAGCTAAGGAAGTCAGTTACTTAAGTTAAAAATCAAAATCAAATCATTTTTCTTAAATTTCGACAGCTATTACACGACTTTGGTTATAAAACTCAACCAATATTAAAATAGGTGTCTAAAAGTATGCAACAATATATTTGTAGTCTGAAAGTTATATGAATTTATACAGGAAGACGACTATCCTTTATTCACTGCATACTTTTAGACACATATTTTGACATTTAAAAGTTAACAGTTATTTTTAAAGTGTACTGACTTGATAAAGCCTAATAAATGCTTTGATAAATTTTGAAAATTGATAAGTGCTTTACTTACTATTTATTTTCAATCCATATACTTTTAAAAGTATACCTTATCTACCTTCATACTCCAAGATTATCTTTCGTTGCCAAGAAAGTTTCCGTAGTTAGGCGAAGACATTAAGTACTGTCGAATAGTTTCTTAATTAAACTGCTGCCTCCAAGTTTTTCTCCACTTAAAAGATGAAAAGTTTCACAAGTTGCTGACAAGGAAACAAAAAATATATATTTTTTTAGGCAAATCCACACAGCTTTTCTGGCTATAATTCCGTTTCTAGGCAGGTCAAACCGCCAACATTATTTTTTTACCGTTGCCTTCGTAACACTTATGGATTTGACATTTATATGACAGCCAAGGTTTTTGTGTAATATGTGTGCTAGCAAGGTTGTTGTTTCCATTTCTTATTCTTGCGGCCCCTTGAGAGTGTGTGCTTTGTTGTTTTTAGGTTTTCGTCAGGAAAAATATATAAATGAAAATTGTTTTTATTCCGCCTCAAAAGGGGAGTGGGGGTTTTGAGTCTGCACATGTGTGTGTGTGGCAGTGCGTAAATACATATATGAGCATTATTTTTTGATTCACTTGGCAAACTCAACTATTTCGGTCACGTAACTTTGGAGCAGAATGGAGCTGAGCTGAGCTGGGAAAACTGAATCAGCCAAGAAAGAAAGAGAAAATTTATGCATTTGATTTCGACTAATTTTCAGAGTCCGAACATGGCTGCGAATTGTTTTGTTTATTGTTGGCCAAATTAAATGCTGACATAAATTAGCTGAAACTAGAGTGGTTTTTTGCCCCCTCCCCCTTTCTTTTCAACATGTTTTTACGACCGCCGACCGAACAGCCTTGAGCCAAAAGAGAAGACGTGGCTATTAAAAAGCACTCCACCATTGGAAACTCTTTTGGCAGCTGCGCTTTCTCCCAGCTCTCAGCTCTCAGCCTCGATTTTAAAGCCTTTAGCCAAAGTGCCAGCCCAAATTGAACCAAAACACTCGCAGACAGACAGACAAGTGTCGTAAAAAGGATATGCCCGCTATAAGTTTGGGTCTGAAGTTGTCGATAAATCCACGGGAGCAGCATAAACCAGTTGCGCGGCTCTAAAAATCGTGTAGGCCCATAGGCCGCCTCCCCCAATGATTTCCCAAGTAAAATTCGTTTTATTAACACCGGGACAC